TTGAAAGAGAAATCACATGTTTTTATGTGTGGTATATCATTTTATTACATCAAATATGAATTAATATACAAGTTTTTTATGTAAAATTATGTAATAAAAACCAATTAATAACAGTACCTTTCTGTAATTTTAAGCCTTATTATTTGTATTATAACAATGTTAGACCTTATTTATAGGTAATTTCATTGTTTTTATACGGGTAAATGGTCTTTATTAAACATTAAAAAGCCCCAAAAATACGGAAAATCTCATGTAAAATTAAAGCTATAAACTGTATTTTAATTATGGAAAATTACTGTATTTTTATGAGACAGTTATTTTCCGTTATTTTACTGTATTTTTCTGGTGCCCCAGCTGCCAGAATATTACCGTTTTTTTAAAGGTTGTTTTTACAGTGTAGTCAGGTAGCAGCAGAAGCCAGCAATGGGTTTGATAGCTGACACAAAGTCATTGATGTCATCACACAGTCAGCTGATGCACCAGCTGATCAGATTGAAATGAGGCTTGAGCACTTTAAATTTAATCTACTACTGCATATTGGTCTCATAGCTGTTTAAATGAATATGCCAACAGCTTCAGAAATATCTTTCACATCGAGAGGCTTCTTAAAACAGCAGAGATAAGTTATTGTAGGTCAGGGGTGTCCAAACCTTTTGCAAAGAGGGCCAGATTTGGTAAGGTGAAAATGTGTTGGGGCTGACCATTCAGCCTGACATTCTTGGAACCATTAACATTAAATACAAATGAACTATTTTATGAAATTTTTATTGCAAATGGCATACTTCATTTTTTTTCATTTTCAAGTTTTTGCCAAAATCACTCTGCCTTTCATGTTTGAAGACCACATAAAATGAAGAAAAAGTCTGTCTGGAAAAAAACCTTTTGGGAAGATGAAACATATCTAGGTTCATTTGAAACATTAAATATTATTCACTATTAAATGCTCACTGTAAACTTCTAAATTCAAAACAGTGGTCCGTGCATATTCAAAACTGTGGTTTTGATCATCACAAAAAAATCAATTCACTGAGATTTTAGAATTTATTCACCTCAGAGGACCAAACACATATCTTGCCTGCACTAATGTGAAGGGTGATACTAAGATCTCGACTGCAGTATGTAGTCCAGGCCTGGCTCAAAAACAGTGGTTTTGGTGCGCAAGACGTCACTTAGTCTCGTCCTCACACGGCTCTTGTTAATGTTCATAACCGAGAATGTCTTCTCGCACAAGTATGTCGAGCCAAACAAGCTCAGCATTTTCTTAGCAAATGTTCGAATCTCTTGGAACCTGCCTTCATCCAGCTGGCGGTAGAAGTTGACAAGATGTTCGTAACTTCGTAGCTTCGTAATTCAGCTAAAAAAATACTCCAATTTCCACTTGTCCTGGAAGCGGTGGCCCTCGCTGTCAACTTTTCTTTTTTTAGTTACGGTCACCATGTCAGAAATGGGCTGGGTTGAAAGGATCACACAAGGGTCACGGTGGCGAGTGCGGCCACAGGTCTACTGCCATCTTCTGGTGAAATGTAAAATAGCTTTTTTTGTACGCGTGTATTTTATACTGTGGTCAACAGTGCTGGCGGGCCGCATATTATTGATTTTATGACAGAGGCTGCGGGCCGGTGAAAATTTGAACACAGGCCGCAATTGGCCCCTGGGCCGAACTTTGGACGTGCCTGTTGTAGGTGTAGTATCACAAGGAAGCAATTCTCATACAAGAGTGTCACATACTGTTCGAGAGATGTAGAAAACAATAGCGCTGTGTTTTAAACTTAGTCTCTGCTATCCAGGCCCCCATCTCGGCCAACTTGACTGAAAGATCGTATGGATAGACTCAAAATGAACTGTGCTCTCTGCTGATTGTGCTCAAAATAAAAATATTAATAATAAAATTATATCTGTTTTCATAGCATTTATATTTCAGGCTGTGTGGACACCTCCTCTGAGAGTGATGGGAGCTGCTTGTTCCTGTTTGTCAACAGTGCAAAACCATTTTATTTTGTGTTACTACAATAACTAGGCCAGAATCCACCTGAGGCCAGTACCACACCTGATGGTCCCTACAGCCTCCATGAGTGCAGCCACCATCATGGACATGACATGGCTGCTCAAGGGATAGTTAGGGGAAAACATTAGTGTGTCAGTTATTATGTCAAAATGAGCAACATCTGCATCATGCTAGGGGTGGGCAATATATCAAATATACCACAAATTGTCACATAATTGTTTTAAGACAGTGGCATGAAGTTCTCTTTGGTGTTTTGCTCCTCTCTCTCGTCAGTGAGGGTGGGAGGACTATAAATCATAGTATGCAAAATACCGCCTGTCCATTATCTTTAGGTTTCCCCACACGCACATATGTCTACTCATTGTGTCAGTGAGAGAGCAAGAGAGAGAGACATTGATTTGTGTATTTTAGTGCTAAAGTTATTACACAACACCACAGTAAAAACCTTATTAGCCTCCTACCACATGCATTTCAAAGACCTACCAACAGGCCTGAAAAGCAACAACAGCAGCTAAATAACAGGCTACAATAAACTCTTAAATACTATATTGAATATCCCTGAGAAACGTGCAGTAAAAGTCAACATTAAGTAACAGATCCCCTCATTATGCATCATCATCATGAGAACAGTTGCCTAACTTATTAGTAAAGATAGTAATAATAATACACAACAGCAAGACCAAACCAAGCTGCTACAATAAATAATAAAAACCACATGAGACAATAAAATTAAATAGTATTTATGCCTATTTGAAGTTCATTCTGCATCTGAACGTTACATCAAACTCTTGCAGAACAGCCTCCGCATTAATTCTAACATCATTATGGATGTGCATCAGTGCTTCACATCTGCAGTGTCAAAATTGGGCATTAAAGCAAAACCAAAAACCAAACTCCTCTTTAACTCCTGCTCTCCTCTTGAATCTAGACTAAAACAAAACATAAGACAATTTACAAACAAACTTATAGACCATATCTCCCAGCCCTACATCACATGTTGGACGGATGTTAGTCTACCACCAGCTTCGGGTAGTGCACAGTGGACAAGAGTAGGAGGAGACAGTAATGAAAGGCTGGTTATGTGAGTGTGTACCCCAATAAACAATAAATAATATAGATTTTGCCCCTTTAAGATAAATGAAAACACAACTATATGTTATAAAACCTTCTTTTTGATCTGGTCTGACATGTCAGCGTGAACATAAGTCACACTGTAGTTGATTTTGTCATCATGTTGACACCTGAACACCTGGATAGTGACTGTATTCACTAACCTGAATGACCACGTGTACTGTATGTTGAATAGTGATCTCTGAATTTCTTGTTTTGAATTCTGACTAAATTGCCCTGTCCTTAGAAGTTGAAAAGAAATTAAAATATAATTGTCTACGTGAAAATTTTAACAATGATCCTCAAGCATGGCAGCTTCAGTGATTCAGAGAAGACATTCAGCAAAGAGAGACAAAGAGGAAGAGACCTGTGCCAGTGCCATCACTGCCTTCCACCATTTTGATTAACACATTAACAAACCCACGTTGCTTGCCGCGCATGCGTTTGGGAGACTGTTGCTGGTTGATGCCATACAGAACCTAACTTGAGTCAAATTAACCACAGTAATTAACCACGGTAATCGACCACAGTTATAATGCTAGTTAAAATTGAAATGGTAATACTAACCGCCTGGCATTTCTACAGTGATAGAGCGTGAAACCGGTAACCCTTTCTTCTCTACTACTGATACAGAGTACATGTGGGATTAACAGTATTTGACTTAAAATGTACAGTCTAGTGTAACCATCCCCCCACCCATGTCAATAATCTCTCCAACAAGTACTGCAATGAAAAAATATTTTATTATTTTTCATTTAACAAGGCTTCAAAACCCTGTACAGTGACCTTATACAATATGACACTGCCCAGAACACGAGGCAGCTCTTAACTGTTGACATGGATATATGAGTCTGTGCCATGATACCTCTGGACGTCATCTCAGGTCATCAGGTATAACAAGTGACATATTCTGAACAATGTCAACAACATGAAAATGCTCTACAAATGTAGTCTCCATCTCTCAGTCAGCATCCTGTTGCTTGTGATCTCATTCTGTAAATAGAAGAATTCTACAGAATGAAAGCATGAAAGTGACCAAGACAGTGACATGATGTTGGACTGGGAAACAAATTCAGTCTGTGTGATGTGGGGGTGCATGAAGGAATGTCTACTAGTGGCTGCATGACACCCTGGATCTTTCTGCTGCAACATGTATGTGGCATGCTCTCATATGCACCCCAAATGACAGGCACACAGAGATGGATGGTACAAAGACTGAAAGGGCCAGTGAAAACTTGTTGGATTTCTTGATGGTCCACTTTAAGATTGACATGAATTTCACTCAAAAACTCCATGTTGTCAACAACAGATAACACAACATTGTAGACCATACCTCTGCCCTGGCACTGTGCTAAAATATATATATTTTAATATATGATTCATCTCATCTAGATCAATGTTGTTTCTTGTGAGCTCTGTTCACCTGAATCTCACTGATGTGGTGTTGGCATATTAATATCATTGCTTGTGCCCATGTCAATAGTACTGTGCAGGGTCTGTTGATCCCCTGCAGGGACTAAGCATCAGGGAGTCTGCGGTGGCTAGTTTGGAAACCTAGATGTAATGATTAGAAAGCTCAGCAGTGACATCTGCTGGTTAAAACGTAGCTGGTGTCCTCACTAATGTTGTAGCTTGACCAGAACAGCCACAGTCTGAATGACCATCATAACAGGACAAGTCCTGGTGGTAGGCCATGTGTAAACAGATCCATACAGGTTTTACCTACTCTTTACCAGCCCTCTGTGAGCCTGCCATTGACAGCATGTGTATTCAGGGATTGGCTCAGTTCACAGACCTGAGCACACCATGTAGACTTCAAGGAGTTCAAAGGCTGCCAGTCACTGCTGGTTCCAGAAGTAAGAAGGTCCCTCCTGGTTTTCCAGGTGTTCTTCTCAGCTCCTGCATGACTGTGGTAAAATGACACATCAGGTTACATCGTAATATTTCTTTCCTTTGAAAACTTTATTTCCAGATCATTTAACCTACTGCCCCTGACCCTCTCAGGGTTCCTGGGCCCACAGGACCACCTTAGCAGATGATTTATAACCTGCCACAAACAACAGCCAGACTTACACCCTATCAGAGGTGGGTAGTAACGCGCTACATTTACTCTGTTACATTTACTTTAGTAACTTTTGGGATAAATTGTACTTCTAAGAGTAGTTTTAATGCAACATACTTTTTACTTTTACTTGAGTATATTTGTGAAGAAGAAGCGCTACTTTTACTCCGTTCCATTTATCTACATTACGCTCGCTACTCGCTACATATTTTTATCAATCTGTTAATGCACGCTTTGTTTGTTTTGGTTTGTCAGAGACCTCCAAAGTAGGATCCATCGCATGACTGCGTTTCACCAATCAGACGCAGTCACTGGTGACGTTTGACTCCGTTTCACCAATCAAACAGAGCCAGGCGGTCACATGACTAACTGCACACAAACTTTCAGCGGCAAACACCGGCAGCAAAGAAGCAGAACACAATGGCAGAGACAACAACGAGTGCTTCGCGACAACCAGAAGAGGAAGAACACCCCTGGCCTCACATAAAATTGATGTTCACGCTTCAGACAACCAAAAAAAACAGTTATGTAATGTGTTGTCATATGTGTCTCCCCAAACAAGTGGACATTTCAGCTTACATAAACTCAATGTCAAATTTGACGGTAAGTAACGTTAGTAGATATTTTGGCTGTCACCATAGGCTGATGTTAGCCGCCCTGCTATGAAACACTGTCAAATGTACATAGTGTGGGGAAATTTATTAACGCACTGCAGCCTCATAGACAGACAGATAAATACACACACACACACACGCACACACACTCACACATGCACACACATGCACGCATGCATACAAACACCAATCAGAAGTGCACAGTGTGTTCCCAGGTGCGGCCCACACCTATCAGAGTTTATGGTTTGCGTAAAGGCTAACTTGTTCTTTTCCTTTGTAATCTCTGCCTACTGAGCCTATTGTGCTGTTATTAAGTTATTGTGGCTCAATTTGCCTTAATTTATTTTATTTTAATGTATTATTATTTAATTTATTATTGTTTTAGTTGCTTAAGAGATATTCTTGGCTCTGAATTTGTTCATTGCTATTTTTATGTTTTTGTGCATTATTTGTTGCCATCATCATTAAACAAACAGGTTACTCATCAGTTACTCAGTACTTGAGTAGTTTTTTCACAACATACTTTTTATTTTTACTCAAGTAAATATTTGGGTGACTACTCTTTACTTTTACTTGAGTAATAAAATTCAAAAGTAGCAGTATTCTTACTTGAGTACAATTTCTGGCTACTCTACCCACCTCTGCACCCTATTTTGTACTATATGGACATGACCTGTTTTTTAATGGAATGAATTACCACTTCAAGTTAAACAAAGTGGCACATTGTGAATATATATATATATATACATATACAGTGCCTATAGAAAATCATCATACCTATTTGAAATAGTTACTTTATTTGTTGTACAAGTTGAAATCAAAACTCATTTAAAAAAAGATTTCTTTACTAATTTTCCTACACAGCATCAAATGACCGACAAAAAAAGCGACAGCTCTGAAAAATATTAAGAAATGCAAAACTAGAATATCAGGGTTAGAAAAGGGAATTTGTCTAATTAATTTTAATTACATTGTCCAGAATTTTTAAGATGTTATTTTCACTTTCACACACCTGATTATGAGGGTTATAATGTGTACATACAGCTCAAAAAGTTCATTTCCAGGGTGTAATCTGGCAAAAGGTAAAGATTTTCACAAGGTACGATGACTTCCTATAGGCACTGTATATACATATACCACATAATCAAGTAGCAACTGCACTATTGCTTTTTGTGATGCTTGTTTTAACCTTAATGTCTGATCCATGTCTCCCGACCGGTGAGTCTACTGATGTAGCATGCCATGAGACACCCCCCCCCCACCCCCCACTGGAACACTGACTAGGTCATGAGCAGAGCTGATACAGTCAGCTATAAAGCTATATTGATTTATTGAGGTTTTACATGTCTTTGACTACATAGGGGCAAGGGCAGTATTGCCCTTAGTTTTTGTTATTTCAACATTATCAATTCTTTTTCCCTCACTATTATCATATTCAATATTGGGATGAATTGTTTTCACTCATTGTAGACTATATGCTATCTATTTCAAAACATTTCACTCTGTATAGGGCCAGTTCTGTTTACCTAGGATTACAATAATGTAATTGTTTAAAAGTGAAATAGAGGAGTCTATGGTAGTTTGAATACTCTTGTGCTTTATTATCCATTCTTTTCTTTTATCTTTATACCCCATGGTTCTCCAAGCTCTTAAGGTTATTGTACATAGTGTATTTTTTCAATAGTGACTGTACTGATTCACATGAATGTTTTTGTGTTTGTTTTTGTTGTTGTTGTTTTTGGGGGGGTTATTTTTGTGTGTGCCTGTGTTTAAAGTTCACTACTCAAGTGGCACAGTGGGTTGAGCAGGTGCCCCATATGTAGAGGCTACAGTCCTTGCCGCAGTTGGCCCCGTTTCGAATCCTGCATCAGACGGCCCTTTACTGCATGTCATTCCCCCTCTCTCTCCCTCCCCATTTCCCATCTCTCTCTACTGTACTATCTAATAAAGGCATAAAAAGCCCAAAAATATACTTTAAAGTTCACTACTCTGCAAGGTTTTCCCTGTTAGATTTAGCTATACTCAGCACATTCAGCACCACTCTTTGGAGGTTTGCTCCTATTGAGTCTGCACGGCTGTTCCTGTCGTTTGGAGATGGGAACACTTGATATACGGGAGGGAGGTGGGTTTGGGCGGACTGTTGGTGTTGAGTTGTGTCTCTGTATTTCTTTTTTTTTTTAATATTTTAATTTTATTTATTTTTATTTTTTTTTGTTTACTTACTCCCCCTTTCCTTACCCTGTTTTGGTAAGAAATCATTTTGGTTAATAAAAGGGTCCAATTTACTCCCTCTAGGATCATAGCTGATAAAAATGGCAGATATTTGATTACTGCAGACAGTTTGTGGGGAATTTTTGGTGAAGTAACCTACCTTTCTTAAACACCCACCTCTTGACATTGGGTGGCAATCTGAACTTTGTTATTGACCCCATCTTGGACCGTTCGAACCCCTGAACTCAGGCCTAATCCTTCTTGTCCAAATCAATCTTGGAATTTATGCTCAAAAATGGCTTTGTTGATCCCTGGAGATTTTATAATCCACAAACTAAGGAATTTTCTTTTTATTCACACATTCACCTGTCATATTCCCGTATTGATTATTTTTTTATTGATAGTTTGCTTATCTCCAAAGTGACTTCCTCTGAATACCATCCTATTGTCATTTCAGACCACGCTCCTGTAAGTGTAAACATTAAATTTCTGGACCGACCCCGCTTTTCATCTGCCTGGAGGTTTAATTCTCTTTTGCTGTCCGACAAGGCAATGACTTTATCTCATCCTCAACTGATGACTTCATTGCTATCAATAAAAATGATTCTGTCTATTCATTTCTATTAAGGGAATCACTTAAAGCATATCTATGTGGGCCAATTATTTCCTATTCAGCATATTCTAGTAAGATCTGTAAGGCTAAATTGTACAAGCTAACAACTAAAATCCACGATACAGACCAAAAAATTGCAAGCGGTTAAACCCCAGCCTTGCAAAAGCCACAGCTAGATTTGCAGGCAGAATATGATCTTATTACAACAATAGTCAATTATATCCTCTATTAAAGCCATGCAAAGTAATAAAGCGGTTGGTCCCGACGGATTTCCAGTTGAGTTCTTTACAAAAATTCATTAATAAACTAGCTCTCCTTATTATTTTGGTGTATAACAAATCCCTGGAACGTGGCTCATTGCCCCCTACCTTAACTCAGACATCCATTACCCTCCTCCTAAAGAGAGGGAAGGACCCTACGTCATGTGCTTCTTATAGACCTCTCTCTTTTTCAAATGTGGATATCAAAATTTTGGCTAAAGCCTTAGCAACTTGTATTGAGGGGATTCTCCCAGGTATCATATCAGAGGAACAGAACGACGTCATTAAAGGGCGTCAACTATTTTTTAACATTCAAACGCTCTTGAATGTAATTTTCTATAAACATTCTTCTCTAACTACTGAAGTTGTTATTGCGCTTGATGCAGAAAAGGCATTTGATCGAGTTGAATGGAACAAGCTTTTTGCAGTACTGCACAAGTTTGGATCTGGGAACAGATTTATATCATGGATTCAACTTCTATACACCTCCCCCCAGGCAAGCGTTTACACCAATGACACTTGATCTATTGGTCAGCACATATTCATAAATTGAGTTATTGGTCTCAATCGCTTGTTGTGGTGTAGGCTGGAGGGTCAATCGTGTTCCTCATCTTTCCTGTGCGCCCTTCTCACCACCAACCCTATCAACTTTACAAGCAACCCTGTGGTGCTGTCTACCCCTAGGATTTGGTATCAGTTTAGGCGCTATTTTAAGTTTATGTCAACCTCCACAATGATGCTATTAGTGAAGAATCATTTTTCTTCCCCCATCATCCTTTGATGCCACCTACATGTTGTGGCAGAACTGAGGCATTAAGTTGTTTAGAGACCTCTACAAAGATGGAACTTTTGCTAGTTTTTCAGATCTATCCTCAGACTTTAATTTGCCTGTACCACGTTTGCTTTGTTACATTCAAGTTAGACAATGTACCGCCTCTCATTTTCCATGCTTCCCTTCCATCCCCGCTAACCAGCCGTGGGAGGACCTTTTGACTCTAAAACCACATTGGAAATCACTTATATCCAAGATATACGAAGAACTCTTGGTTTTCAATGTTCATTCTCATGCTAAAACTATTATTGCTTGGGAGCAAGAGCTGGGGGTAGTTTTCACAGATCAGAGGTGGGATGAGGCTATAAATAGAAT